GCTTCTCTCCAACCTAAACAGGAATGAAAGGACCATTGGCAGAAGCTTAGGAGCACAGATGGGTACAAATAAACACACTAGGGAGTGGACTGTGCACAGAATAATTTGTGAAACCACTTCTAAGTCTACTGTCACATGACATTTCATTCAAGAAAAATGCTGGGCCTTTAACTGGAAGAGAAAAGCTCTAGTTCTGGGGGAAAAAAAATACTGAAATATGTTTTGTTTTTCTTGTGGGATCTCAGTTGGGATGAGAAAGCTTCAGAGAGATTAGGAGATTCTCTGGCAGTAGTTCTCAAACCTTAAGGTGCGTAAGAATCACCTGAGGGGCCCGACACAGTGGTTCATGCCTGTAATCTCAGTACTTTCGAGAAGCCAAAGCAGTAGGACTGCTTGAAGCCAGGAGTTCGAGACCCACATGGGCTACATAGTGAGACTCCTGTCACTACAAAAAAATTTTTTTTAAATTAGGTATGCTGGTGCATATATGTAGTCCCAGCTACTCAAGAGGCTGAGGCAGGAGGATCACTTGAGCCCAGGAGTTTGCGGTTGTTGTGAGCTATGATGATGAAACTGCACTCTAACTAGAGCAATAGCCACCCTGTCTCAAAAAAAAAAAAAAAAAATCATCTGAGGTTCACCAGACATTTAGAAAGCCTCTGATGTGGAAGATATAGACAAGTTTAAAAAAAAAAAGAAAGAAAGAAAAGAAAAAAGCAACCTGGGCAATCAGAGACCACGCAACTAGAGAAAATAAGTAAATAACACTAATATCCTCTGAGATAAGAGAAAATTTTTGCTTCCATGAAATGTGAACAAGATGCTATAAAAAAAGGAATATTTCGAAAACAAACTAACAAAAAAAATTTAAAAACATAACAGCAGAAATTAAAAGCTCAATTAAAAAATTTAAGGATAACACTAAGGAAATCTTTCAGAAAAATAAAGCAAACATGAGAGCTAGATTTTTAAAAAAAAGAGAAAAAATATTTTTTGAGAGAACATTTACCCAAAAACTTGAAAACTTATATCAACACAAAAACCTGCATTTAGATGTTTATAGAAACATTATTCATAGTTGTCAAAACTTGGAAGCAACCGAGATGTCCTTCAAGAGGTGAATGGATAAATAAACTGTGGCATACCCAGATAATAGAATATTATTCGGCACTAAAAAAAAAAAAGAGCTATCCGGCCATGAAAAGACATAGAGGAAACTTAAATGCATATGACACAGTGAAAGAAGCCAATCTGAGGACAGGCTGCCTATCGAACCTGCTGCAGAAGCTTGTTTGTACTTTGTTTATCTTGATGATTGCCATGGTTTGAGTGTCTCTGCCAAAACTCATGTTGAAATTTAATTGCCACTGATGGTATTGGGCGGTGGGGCCTTCAAGAGGTGATTAGATGCAGGGGACACCACCCTCCTGAATGGATTAAGGCAGTTATCTTGGGAGTGAGTTCAGACAGGAGTGAGTTAGTTCTGGAGAGTGCAGGTTGTTTATAAAAGCAAGCTTGGCTCGCTCTTGTGGTCTCTTGTGCAGGTGTTGGCCACTTACCCTTCCGCCTCTCCTCCAGGTTATGATGCAGTACAAAAGCCTCACCAGAAGCTGCTGCCACGTCCTTGGACTTCCCAGCCTCCAGAACTGTGAGCCAAATACCCAGTCTCAAGTATTCTGCTGTAACAACAGAAAATGGACTAAGACAATGACCTGATGAGATCCCTGCTCTCCCACTCCTCTGTTCTCATGCCCCATTTCCTGGATGAGCTGAAGACACTCATATCTCCCTGAGACACGTTCTGTGTTAACCCTGAAGGAGGCCCTAATGAGCTGAGATGCAAATATAGAAAGCAGCCCCTTTCCTCTCCAGCCATATTTTTGCCAGATGTTCAAACCACAGCCCTGCCCCAATATTCTCCTGGTGATTTCCCAAGGTGGGATCATCCCAGGGAAGCTGAATCCAGACTCTGTCCCAGAGACACTGTTCAGCTTACCTCCTCCTGGGAAGCTTCACTTATCAGTGGCTTTACTGCTATTTCCCAGCAGGTCCAGGCTTGGACTTGTTTTCAGTCTTTCAAAACAAACCTATATTGTTTAGGGATGCTCTCAGGGATGGTGAAACTATAAAGAAAAGCAAAAAAAAGAAGACCACAACCTTAGGATAGTAGTTCCCTCTGATGGGGGAAGACGGGTAGCAATCAGGTGGGCACATGAGAGCCCCCTTATGTTCAACATGCAAAACTGAGTAGTGAGTACACAAGGTTTTGTTTTATTATTTTTTAAACTGTGTATATGTTTTATAAACTCCTCTTTATGTGTGATACATTTCAAAATTTAAGCCAAAAAAGTTGAGTAAATAAAGAATTACCTGGGGAACTTGTTAATTAAGAAGGCAAATTCTTACTCCACTACAATTTTGATTCAGGAGAGCTGGTCAGGACCAGAGAATCCACATTTTTAAATGATGCTGATGCAGGAGGTCCAAAAACCACACCCCGAGACACCTTAACCTGTGTTAAGAGCATCACAGTCTTTGGCATCAATAAACCTGAGTTCAAAGCACCAACTCAGTTGACTCCTGGCTGTGTACTACCAGCAAGTTTTCTTCCTCTGTAAAATAGGCATGATAAACTTGGCACAGTGCGTAGGACCTACTAACCAGTCAACACAGGTTGGCTATAATAATAATCATTATTATTATGATTTTAGTGAAATAAGAGTGTATTTCCTCAGATGTGGTCATTTCTATTGATGTGACCCTGTACAGGTAAATTTTCCAGATGATTTTGACTCAGCAAAGAGAGACTATTATGGTTCAAAATTTTCCTATAAGCCTTAAACTTTTCACATTCTTTAGCTAAATGTGAGAATCTAAGGAAATAACCCTAAACAGAGGAATTATATATAATAGCAAAATATTAGAAACAACTTAAATAGCCAACAACAAAAGTAAGGTTACACAAACTGTGAGCTATATTTATAGATTGGAATATAATGTAGCCATTAAATATGACTTTTTAAAAACATGTAAAAGTTATTTTGTAATGCTAAAATGAAAAAAAGCCAGATAGAAAACATATATCTACCACATCATCAAAAGTACGCATATAAAAAAAAATAACAAAAAACACTGTTTCCATAGAAAATAATGGAAGAAAATAGATCAAAATGTTCAAACACAGGTTGTTTTCTGGGTGAGATATGGATAATTCTTTTTTCTTCCTTTTTAATTTTCCGTATTTTCCAAATACTCTATAATGGGAATGAAACAAATGTCACTTTTTAAAGTATATTTTTGTTACTTTTTCAAATTTAAACCAGTTTCAGGGTTCTGCATCAGCTAGGATTCATAAAAGACAATGACGTTTCCACACACAGCGCAGGCTATCAGAGCAGGAGGGATGCTTTAGACATATCTGTAACCCTCCTGTGTTGCAGATGAGAAACCTGAGGCCCAACAAGATGAACCGATGAGCATAAAAGGACACAAATGTGTGAAGTCCAGGATCTGTTTCCAGGACTCGCAATTCCATATAACACTATTTCCATTCATTCCACCACACTACCCTGTCAGTCTTCATAATCCAGGCTGTTAAACACTTCGGCCTCAGTATTCAATGTGTGGTCCTGAAACCAGAAGAACATCACCTGGGTGATTATTAGAAATGCAGATTCTCAAGCCTCTTCCCTGGGAAAGGAAATCAGAATGTGCATTTTAACAACATCCCCAGGTCAAGGTTCTCAGAGAAGAAACAAAATAAGAGAAACTCTCTCTTTGATGGCTTAATTTAGCATAAAGCTGACTTGGATGACCAAGTTAAAACAAAGTGATCTCAGTCCCACCATTGGCTGTGTGATATGAAGTCTGTTTCTCAACCTCTCTGTGCCTCCGTTTTCCTCATCTGTAAAATAGCGATGATAAACTTAGCATGGTGCCTAACAAGTGCAGAGATGAAAGCTGGGGTGCACTAAGCCTGCAGTCCCCAACACCCTAGGCGCAGACCAGTACCCATCCGTTGCCTGTTAGGAACCAGAATTTGAGTGAAGCTTGGTCTCTGTATTTACAGCTGCTCCCCATCGCTTGCATCACCGTCTGAGCTCTGCCTCCTGTCAGATCAGCAGCAACATTAGATTCTGCATTATGGTGAGTTGTATAATTGTTTCATCATATATTACAATGTCATAATAGAAATAAAGTGCACAATAAATGTAATGTGCTTGAATCATCCCGAAACCATCTCCCACCCCCAGTCAGCAGAAAAACTGTCTTCCATGAAACTGGTCCCTGGTGTCAAAAAAGTTGGGGACCACTGCACTAAACCATCACGAACAGTGCTAGAAAATAATGCTTCTTGTTAGGCACGTTTCACCATGCCTGGTGCTCTGTAAGAGCTGGGATTCCCTGTACAGGGTGCCTGGCACATACTAAGCGCACAGCCGGTATGTGTTTAATAAATAACTAGCAAGAGCGCAGGTAACGTTTATCAACGTTTGGTTTAGACCGTCCCATTTCTTAGTGTATCACACTCTCCAAACTGCCAATTTTCTCCATTCCAACATTCAAAACCCCGCCAGCGCCCACCTCCACCAGACGGTAAGGAAGAAGGGAGGTTGAAGGTTATAGATTAAGCTTAATGCATACTGTAAATCATTCATTCTCGAACTTTATGATTACGAATCCAGAGCATTCACGCATCTAACCTTTCTAAACGCCCCCATTGTTACTCCGCCCCCGTTTTCCTAGGCCACGTCCCCACTCCGGTGTCCCACCCCTTCCATCGTCTCTGCCTTCTACGGCCCCGCCCCCTCAGCCTGCCGGCTTTCCCTTCCCACCTCACACCTCCGCCCCGCCCAACCGCGGGCTCGCCCCCGTAGGCCCCGCCCCCCGGCCGCCGGGCTCGGCGTGCGTGCCGCTCGCGCCTCTGCGCTCTGCACGCGCGGCCTGCTCGCCGCCGCAGGCCCCGGCGTCGGGCATCAGTGGCGCCAGGGCGGTCGGACGCCTGGCCGGGAGCCGTCCCTCTGCCCTGCGCAAGGTAGGGCCCAAGGGCGGGCAGGGCTGAGGCGCGGGTCTCCGGAGGCCTCGCGAGAGGGGCCGGGGCGCCGGACCGCGCGTGGGTGCGGGCGGGGCCCCGGCGGAGGCCGCGCCCCGAGTCTGGAGCGGCGGGGAGCCCCCGGAGGGGAGTGGGGGCCGAGGCCGGGGCTGACGGTTATGGATGCCGGCCTGCGCAGCGCAGCCGGAACGTGCGGCCTTTCCGCGGACGGCAGCCTGTGGATGTGTGTTGCGCGCTTCCCCGGGTGAGCCCGGCGGTGAGGTGCGGAAGCGGCGGCTCCCGCACGTTCTCCCGAAACGGGGCCGGCGAAGGACGGAGGGAGGGGACGGGAGTGCGACGGCCGAACGCCGCCCACTCGGCTCGCAGGTGCACGATCGGCAACCGGGAAGCGACGCGCGTGCCCGCCGGGGGAGAGAGCGCAGCCACCTGAACGGATGGCGCCCGTGAGGGGCAGGAAGGAGGGCTGGGAGGGGAGAGCGAGCCTGGAGTGGACCCTGCCTTTTTCTTTCCTAGTTAGACGCCGTCCTTGGAGAAGATGGAAGGGGAGAGGCGGCCGGCGCTGGGCCCGCCCTCCGAGGGCTTGTTTGCGGACGGGCACCTGGTCCTGTGGACGCTGTGCTCGGTGCTGCTGCCGGTGTTCATCACCTTCTGGTGTAGCCTCCAGCGGTCGCGCCGGCAGCTGCACCGCAGGGACATCTTCCGCAAGAGCAAGCACGGGTGGCACGACACGGACCTGTTCAGCCAGCCCACCTACTGCTGCGTGTGCGCGCAGCACATTCTGCAGGGCGCCTTCTGCGACTGCTGCGGGCTCCGCGTGGACGAGGGCTGCCTCAAGAAGGCTGACAAGCGCTTCCAGTGCAAGGAGATCATGCTCAAGAATGACAGCAAGGCCCTGGACGCCATGCCCCATCACTGGATCCGCGGCAACGTGCCCCTGTGCAGTTACTGTGTGGTTTGCAAGCAGCAGTGCGGCAGTCAACCTAAGCTCTGCGATTACAGGTATGGCCTTTGTGGGTACCCACTGGCCCAGAATGCACAGTGGGAGTCATGATTTCATAGAGTGAAGGTAAAGGCCTGGTTTCATCTCTGCAAATGGCCTAAACTTCACATTTCTAGGAAGGAAGCTAATAAACATCCCTGGTGTTGTGCAAGCCTGGTAGCTTTGCAGTAATCATTTGCTGAGATGATGAGCCTAGCTTTCACTCCTCAGCCAGCGTGCCCTTTTGGGTAATAAAATTTGGCTTTTCACTCCCATCCAGAGATTACTAAATGCTGCGTGCTTCATGGCCACTGTTGTTGCTATTAATTACCTCCTTATTTTAAATAAGGAAAAACGAAGTATGGATAAATTAACTTTTTCCTTTTTCCATAAAACTGATTCATTATGGGTTTTGTACTATAAATGTACAGTGAAAATAAATGCCATTCCAAGGCAACACTCAAATATCTTTTGCTAGGATAGCTATTAGTGCCATAGTGAAATTTACTCAAAAAGAACCCTGAAAGAAATATTCGTTTTGACAGATGATCTTTTGGGACATGTAGAATCTTAGATCAGTGACCTTCATTAAGCCAAGAATATTTTAATGGCTTTTACATACACGCTGGACAACACGTTTGCCGTTAAATATTGTCTGAAAATAGATGATGTTCTTTGTTGATGTTAGAGATTAGTAATAGGGGATGCTACTTTGCCGGTCATCCATTCACATTCAGTTCGTGATTGAGAAAAGTATAGCCCCTTAGGTCTACTCAGTTGGAATGGCTTCCAGGATTTCTAAGCCCCTGGATAGGATTAGGAATACTAACACATAGCCTCTAGCCTCGTCTGGGCATCTTCATTGTGATGGGTTTTATTTCTGACAAGTAGAAAGATCTATAAACATGTTTAAGAATGGAAATAAGGCTGAGGCAATAGGATCGCTTGAGCCCAGGAGTTTGAGGTTGCTGTGACTAGGCTGACACCATGGCTCTCACTCTAGCCAGGGCAACAGAGTGAGACTCTGTCTCAAAAAAAAAAAAAGAACGGACATAGAAAGCTGGTGCTACACAGGAAGCTACTTTTTTTACTTTTTGCAGAAGAATCTTTTTTAATTAGCGTGAGCATTGTTAAGTCAATACCTGTAAGTCTTACTTTAAATAATTTTACAATATTATCAGAGTTAAGCATAACAAATTTTCAAAATATAGTTTAGACAACTACAAAGTTTTATAACCATTTTTTATTTGTTGTCTTTAAAATTTAGATGCTGTTCTTCTGGCATCAGTGACAACCGAGTTACGAGTTACTCTAAATATATTCCATAATAAATATTGTTGTATTTCCTTCCCTTCTCTGTGTCTGTGCAGAATTAGGTAAAAATGGCTTCCATAAATATCTTAACCGTATTTCAAACACTCCTTAACAGACAGTCTTAGTGCTTCTGATCCTTCACCCAAATAATCTTTCTAAAACTACACGTCTGATCAAGTCTCTGCTTAAAACCCTTTAAATTGCTCCTTATCACTTATGTCGATTGTCTCACAGTGTAAACTCCCAAGTGCTTTTTAATAGGCCCATAAGATCCTACTGCTCTCTGGCCTCTCTGCCCTTCTAGTTTTATCTTCTACCACTTGCATTAAAGTTTATGCATCAGCAGCACCAAGCTGCTTGTAGTTTCCTTAAAACATCGGGCTTTTTCTTACTGTTCTTCTTTTTCTCAAAGCTTTCCTGTATAGTATCCTTCTTCTGGCTAGCTTCTAGGCATCCTTAAAGACTCATTTCGTGACCTTTCTTTCAGGAACCCTTGCCTGATCTACTCCTCTCCACCCACCACACACACAGATTTTTCCATTTTTGATGACATTATATTCTGTATCTCAGTGGTTCTCAAAGTAAGGCCCCTACACCAGCAACATCAGTATCACTTCAAAATCTGTTTAGAAATCGAACTACTAAGGTTGCCAGATTTAGCAAAAATAAAATATTTATAATATTTGGAACATACTTATACCAAAAAAGTATTTGTTGTTTATTTGAAATTCAGATTTAACTGGGCATCCTCTTTTTTTTTTCTGGCAACCCTAGCACCAAGCCCAGACCTGCTGAATCAGACACTCGGGTTGGGGATCAGCAGTCTTTGCTTTAACAGGCCCTGCAGTTCCTTCTGAAGTTGGAGAACCACTGCTATATTTATATATGTTTTAAAACATGAACCTTTGTCCCTTAATTTTGTGTTCTCACATTGAGCACAATGAATGTGATAATAGATCTTCTTTTCTCATTAGCATGTTTTCTTACAGGTTATTTATTGAGCAGTCTGTTCCCAGCATGCTATACCCCTTACCCATGGTAGAAATCGTCTCTGTATAATTTAAGAGGTGTTTATCATTCCTAGGAGAAAAGAGCACAGTGTCCTAAAGTTGTATGTATTGTACAATGTTCTGAACTGGTTTATTTTAACTGATAATTTTATGCAGGATTACAATCTGCTGTGACCTTCTTTAGGAATGAGATGTTTTGGAATGAGAAACAAATAGTGATTTAGAACCTTTAAACACAGACCAGACTGTGCCTTCCTGGATTTTATCCAGCCCTGAGGAGGGCTCCTTCCATGTCTGCATCACATTCTTAGGGAAGTCGGTCAGCTCTGAAGCCTGGTCAACAAGTTAGCATTTCAGAGCGCAGTAATAACAGATGATAATTGATTTTAAAGCCTGTAGCCCTCTTCACCTAGGCAGAGTAAGTGAGAAAGGCCCTTTAATTTATACTCATTCAGTCATATATTTATTAGGCATCGATTTTGTGCCAGATACTGTGCTGGAGTCTACTTTCTTTGTAGATTTTTTCTTTTTGTGTGCTCCTACCTGTACCCCCAACCACTACAAAACATATTTCTGTGCCTAGTATCTTGCCACTTTTTCTCTGTCCTTTTTTTTTTCTTGTTACTTCTCTTATGACTAAAATAGGGAACTATGTTATATTTTTAAGAATTCATTATATTTATTAAATCTTTGTTCCTTGTAATGTTCTGTCTCATTAAGAGAGAAAGAACTTAAGGTGTTTTTTTATTTATAGGGCCTTTTATTCATTACGTACCTCCTCCCAACACACACACTCACACACACACACTCACTCACTCACTCACTCTGTGACTTCTGACTCAGAAGGTAATTATATTGGCCTCGGTAGTCTCGGCTGTGATTGTAAATTTTATTTTTCTATTTTCTGTTGGTGTGTGTTTATTCATTTCATTAATTATCTGAAACAATGAAAGATACCAAATCATCATCTAGAGCAAAGGTGGGCAAGCTTACTGTAAAGAGCAAAAAGTAAGTATTTTAGGCTTTGCCAACCATTTAATCTATTGTAATTACTTAACTCTGCTTTAGTCACAGGACAAAACTAGCTATACACAATGTATACATGAATGGGCGTAGCTGTGTTCCAGTAAAACTTTATCCACATAATCAGGTGGCAGATGTATTTGTAGTTTGCTGATCCTCGTTCTAGTGTGAATCTCATAAATGACCATCTCAACTTCGCATATAATTCAGCTGCCTTGTCCAGCATACTAAAGAAGAAAACTATTGTGAACAAGTAACTTTTTAGAGAAAATAGGCAGTGTTGCCACCAGGTTTATTTTTCATGTTAAACTTTTTTTAAAAAATTAAAGTATTCATACTCCTGCACAAGAATAGCACATAAATTCGTGAAGCAATTCATATTTTCATATGAAGGAACTTACTAGGATAATACTCTATGTCTTGCTAAGGGTTTTAGTTACATTAATATGTTCATTTATCAGAACTCAGCAAGTGTGCATATTTGTACATTTCATTGTATATAAATTTGACATCAAAAGGTAAAAACCTATAAACAAATCATGAACTCTAGGTAATGATATGCCTACTTGCTGGCGTATTTAGGAAGTATGCTAATATATGCACTTGGCAATGTACTAAAAATAAGATGGATTAATGGATAGAAATGTTATGAAACAATTACAGTAAAATGTTAATTCTAGAATAAGTGGTAGGCATATCAGTGTTCACTGAAAAAAAATTTTAAGCAAAATATTTTTAAAAACAAGGAGACTCTTTGTTTTTAGGAGATACTTGCTAAAATACAGAAAGGTGAATTCTCATAATATCTGCAATTTACTTTCAAATGATTCAGCAAAATATGAGTTAATATTGAAAGAGAGAAAGAAAATTGTGGGAGAAAATGTTAATTAAGAATCAGGGCCAGGCACGGTGGCTCACGCCTGGCTGGGAGGCCAAGGCGGGAGAAATGCTTGAGCTCAGGAGTTTGAGACCAGCCTGAGCAAGAGTGAGACCCCATCTCTA